TCCTCACCGTGCAACACTGTTACACCAAACCCCAGCACCTTTCTGACAGAGATGTTTGTCCTCAAAATCACAGATGTCATACAGGTGACATCTACAGAGACTTCGGGGAGTGCCACAGCCTCACTGTCTTCTTTGCAGCAACCCCCGTAGGGCAAGGGGTCCTGCAGACCATAAGTATCTTCAGATGCTTATTAAAGCCACAGTTCTTGTTCCCTCCTAAGATGACATCCGTTAGCAAAGCGGGAGTCGCAGCTGTTCACAGGTAGAGTCTCTCAGCTGTAAAAACTTCCACAAAGGTGGAAAGTCTCACTCACTCCCCAATTTCAACAGCTCCAGTCTACTGATCACACCAAAACATGTGCGATGCCAAATGCGAACCGTATCACAAGCTCTGCCTCACAGCCAGTGAAGATTTGCATCAGAGCAAGGCCTTGTGAACACAAACGACCATAAATGCCAAAAGCAGAGCTGCTCCCACAGGTACCACCAGAAGAAGACCAAGCAGGACTTCCAATTCCCTGTGGGTCAATCCAGAGGACTCCCACATCTCTGCAGCAGTCCTCCAGGGCTGTTCATCAAACTGGCAGGGCTACACCGAAGGAGATGGGAAGTCAGACCTCGTGTGTTTTCCCCCCTGCCCGATCAACATCACCAGGGAGTCAGAGAGAGAATGAAGCCAAACTTCTCCAAGTGCACCATGAAAGGACAAGAAGTGACAGGACCAAGCTGCAGCAACAGAAATTCTGACTATGCACCCAGAAAAAAACAATTCTTCATTACCAGCGTGGTCAGTCCTGGGATCCGGGTGCAGAAATCTCCTTCTTGGGCAAATTCAACCAGCCATGGCCAGTACCATTGAAATTACTCTGCTCTGGGCCAAAGACTTCCAGGGGTCCCTTCCAACCCTGGCTTTTCTCCAATTCATTGCAATATTTCATGATACCTCAACTGTGCCATGAAAGGCACAGTCCTGCTACTGCGATTACTCCTGGAACACCCAAACCCTCCATCCCAAAACATTTGAGTTGGCTGGAGAAAACATTCTGGTGTCTACAAGCACACTCAATTCTACCACAGCAGTGGCAGACAGCCCATCCGGATCTACTCACCCTTTCTGACCAGTAAAGCACCGAGAGCTTTCAATCCCAAGCCCCATGGTGAGCTTATGGGATGTGCTGAAGGCCAAGAGCAGAGCATGGGTCATTCTTAACCTCTGTCCCAACTGCTACCTCTGCATCCAAACCTCTACACATCCAAAGGAGTGCAGCTGCAGTGTGCCGAGAGCCCACCTCTGCCCAGACAGATTATCTTCCAAGCAAATAACCTTCCATCCCTGGTGTGAGAATCCAAACCATGTCCCATCTTTGGCATGGTCTTTGAGATGAAGAAGGGAGAAGATGGGAACAATTTTGGCAATTCCTGAGTACCAGTAGAAAGAAGATAAAAAGCAGCAACATCTGGGCTGACAGAGACCAACAGCAGACAGAATCCTTCACTGAGTGCAGGAAGACGAGTATAATGCCAGGGGTACAATTTCCACAACGACAGCCTCAAAAATGCACCACCACATCCTAAAGACCAGCTTTCAGCCTCTCAGAGGACAACCCCACATCGCACTACGGCCAATTCAGAGAAGTTAAAACAATGCTCAGCCAGTGCTCATGCCAGCTTTGGCCTTCAAACCCTAACCCACAAAACAAACTCTGGGACTCCACCAGAGAAACCACTTTCTCCGATGCAGTGGGAAGAGGATGTCCGTGACCATCCTACTCCCAGCAGCTCTTCAGCACCTTTCCTGGACTACCTGGGCGAGAGGGTTTGATCCACCTGCTCTGCTGTATAGCAATGACAGGATCTGACACACAGGGGATGGAGACACCACCCTCGTGTGCTCCTAGGTGATACAGGTTGTCCTCAAACCCGCAACGCTCTGGGGCTATCAACAGTCAGAGCTGTTGCTATCGCAAGGGGCATCCCATACACACACCTCTCGCTGATTTCAGTGATATTTCAGGGTGTATTTGCAAACAAGAATGCTTCATACTACAGCCTTATGGCATTTCAGATGTTTTCCACAGAGATCTCCGGGTTTATCAGATCACATCACACACACAGAGGTTTCCAGGGCACCTCAGACCCCATGTACAAGTGCTACCACAGCCCAGGCCCCACTCTGAGCCCTCACAATGCTCCTGCAGCCCTGTTCACCCAATCCTCCACCTGCACCCCTACACCCAGCCTCCTGACACCCCCTTTTCTGCCTGCCCTATACGCCTCACCTTTCCCTAAGTTCTCCATAAACCCCTGTGGGCTATGTCCCACACACTGTGACCCTGCACAGCTCTCCTTCCCCCCAGGACCCACACTACTCCTGCCTCACAAGCCCCTACACCCTTGCTTGCCCTCCTAACCCTCCACCTGAGCCTCCAGGTGCCCCCTCACCCATGTTTGCACCTCTCCCTCCCCACACCCTCCTCTCCCCGCACCCCCTCCCCAGCCCCTCACACTCCTGCAACCCCTGTCCCCCCATTCTCCCACTCTAGGCCTGCACCCTGGAGCCCTGCCCATGCACCCCACACTCCAGCTGGACACCCCACATTCCAAGCCCGCCCCTCAGAGACCACCCAGCCTACCCCTCTGGGTCCTCCAGACCCCGGCCTACCCCTCACAGCCCCGCCACGGCCCAGGCCCCGGCGCCAAGCCCGTCCTTCACAAACCCCCGGCCCAGCGGCCGGCCCCGACACCCAGTCCCCGGTCCCATCCCTCACAGGCCCCGGCCCGTCCTGTCCGTCACAGACCCCAGGCCCCAGGCCCCAGCCCCCGGCCTGTCCCTCATAGCGCCCCCAGCCTAGGCCGCAGCCCGCCGTCCACTTCCCCACAGGCTCCCCCCCGCCCCGGCGCCGTCCCCGCCGCTCACCGGGGTCGCTCTCCAGCTCCAGCCAGCCCTTATTCATCTTCCCGCGGGCCGGGCCGCGTCGCCATGTCCGGCCCCGCCACCCGCCCCGACTCCGGGCCCCGCCGCCGCCGCCGTCGCACCGCCCCCGCGCGTCATCGCTGCGCGACGTCGCGCCACGTTACGTCACCGCGCGGCGCCACACAGCCGTCCCAAGGGGGATGGCGGAGACACAAGTGTCCCCGCGGTGGCGGGGGAGGGCCCTCCCAGGGGCCGGGGCTTCTCCCTGCTCTGCCCCGGGGCTTCGCCTGGGAGTTGGACTCGAGAGCCCGGGCCGCCCCCTGCGACCTGTCCTGAGGGGCCTGGGCCTGTCGCGGGGGATCAGGGCCTGTCGTGAGGGATCAGGGCCTGGAACTGGGCCTGGGCCTATCCTGAGGGACCTGGGACAGGCAGAAAGCCCACAGTGCAGGCACACTGGTTGGGCCTGTCGTGAGGGACCTGGGCCTGGAACTGGGCCTGTCGTGAGGGACTCTGGCCTGGAACTGGGTCTGGGCCTCGGCCTGGGCCTGTCGTGAGAAACCCGGCCTGTCCTAAGGGATCAGGGCCTGGAACTAGGCCTGGGCCTGTCGTGAGGGACCTGGGCCTGGAACTGGGCCTGTCGTGAGGGACTCTGGCCTGGAACTGGGTCTGGGCCTCGGCCTGGGCCTGTCGTGAGAAACCCGGGCCTGGAACTGGGCCTGTCGTGAGGGACTCCGGCCTGGGCCTGGGCCTGTCATCAGGGCTGGGCCCCACTGTGTTGAGGTATAAGGGCTCCTGCTGAGGCTGAGGCCACCCGTCACATCCCTCACCCTGCCGGCAGCTCCACGTAAGCTGCCTCAGAGGCCGGAAGGCTCCCAGGGGGAGTGGGCGCCCCTGTGCTGCGCTTCCTTAGGAAGTGGGCTAAAAATAGGAGCCGGATCCATGGCTGTGCCTGTTCCCCCCCCCCCACCGTGGCTTTGTTCTGCGGCGGTTCCCACGCACGCCCCATCCTCCAGCTCTCCCCTCACCCCACTCTTCCTCCTGGGACAGGGCTTGGCCAGCAGCACCAAGACCCAGGTAGGGCTTGTTGATGCAGAGGAGACGAGCCGGGGCAACAGTGCTGTACCTGCCCACCGAATTTGTCTCCTTCCACCCCCTGGGGTGGCTGAGGATGCGTTCATGTTCATTCAGCCCGTGGAAATTTCTAGGAACTGAGGTTGCCTCCGTTGGCTGATTATGATGGGAGACAAGGCTGGAACATGAGCCCTGCTTGCACCCCTGACAAAAGCCCCTTGCTCCACCCTTACTGATGTAAACCTACCCAGAAGGGCCAGGCTCCGCCACTGCAGAGATTTATGGAGATTTACCAGGAGGGGGAGGCCCGTTCAAGAACCAGTTTCTTCTGGTCTTTGCTCCTGCTCAGTTTGAAACATCACTGGCCCCGGTGTCACCTCCAGCCTCTGCCGCAGGTCACTTTGGGCCAGGTCCCACACGCAACAGAGGTCCCAGGACCCCTCTCACTGCCTCCCCTGGGGTGGGCAGCCAAGCCCCGGCTCTGCTGAGCACCAGGGTTTGCTTGGAGGCAACAAGGTGTGGGTGTTTCCACAGCGTGGCTCATTGCAAATGCTTCAGAGCCATTAAATCCAAGCCCTGAGGAATCAGACTTCTGTCTCTCGTTTCTGGCCGTACACCCATGTCCCTCCTTGTCTCTACTTGTTGCTTATCGTTCCGTGCCCCCCAGGCCTGCGATGAACCAAATCCACGTGCTTGGCTCCAATCTGGCCCATAAATCAGTGCTACCAGCCCCGCTCCCCTCCCTGCAGGACGTGTCCTGGCCCGCCAGCCCCACCGCAGCCCTCCCTCCCCTGGAGACACCGGGAGTTTGCAGGAGAGGCGGGATGGGGAGCGGGAGGACAGGGTTGGGGACCCACAGCTCATCCCCAGGGGCGCGCCGTGGGACAGGGCAGCGCTGCTGGGGGACTTTGCCCCGGTCAAAGGCTCCGTGGCGAGCCGTGGTGCCTCACTGCCGCAGCACAAACACACACGCCGAGGGAGGAGCGATGATATCATGAGCTGGCTTTGTGCGAGCTATTTAGGGGGCTTTAATTATTATTATTATTATTTTTCTTTCCCGTTCCTCTGCCTCCAAACAATGCCCGTGCCGGCAGGGCTGCAGTTCACACCATTGTGTGGGGCAGCCCTGCCTCAGGAAGGGGGAGATCCTTATCACCCCAGGCTGACCGGGCGAGTGAGCTCATGTCGCTGGAGGAAAGCAAGCCAGCACCTTGCCGGCAGCCTGGGGGTCCCCTCCACACACCTACCCCCCAACCCTGGCATCTGGGGGACACCCCGGGGGCTGCTTTAGCTCCACCAGCCCAGCATCAAGCCTCCTCCGACCAGCTTTGTCCCACCCAGCCCCGCAGGGCCACCCACCACCAGAAACACACCTGGGCTGGGGGGCAGCCTCCCCAGACTGATGGGGCCCCCCCAGACTGATGGGGACTTCTACGTGTCCCCGCTCGTGCCTGGGCACAATGACAGTGGTGGCATCAGTGCCTCTCCCATGTTTACCCAGGAACGGGTCTAACCTGCTGGCAGCCGTTTACTTTCCTCCCCGACCCTGCCCAGCCCTAAAACAGTCTGTGGCTGGGGTGGGGGGACGGGGGGGATGGGGGGGACTGCACCCAGGCATGGGCTGGCACAGCAGAGCGTGTCCTGGTATGCAGGGAAGGTTGGAAGAAGCCCTGTGCCCCAGGTGGGGCGGCGCAGCATGGCTCTGGCTCCTCAGGCGCAGCAGACAGGGCTCATCCTGGGCACGGAGGCTTTTTGGGGTGATGGTGGGTTTTTCCCCTCCGTGAGAGCGGGCATCATCTTTCCCAGGCCCCGTGCTGGCGTGGAAAGAGCCTGGAGCCATCAGCCGCTCCCCGCGGCGCCACACTCGGCCTCTTTATTTGCAGAGAAAGCCAGCTGGCAAGCTCCCTGGGGTGGTGGCACAGTGGTGGCACTGCGGGTGCCAAGCCCCGACCCTCCCTGGGGACCATGGCCCCACACCCACCACGGCACCCAGCTGTGGGGCCGCTGCGTCCCACCACCCCAACCATTTCAGAGGTGGCCCTGCAGCCACCAAGGGTGACAAGGACCTGCCCAGGAGCCAGCCCTGGAATCCCACCCAACACAGCTGGGGAAATGGAGGGACTGGGCTGGCACCACTGGAAGCCACCCACTAAGGCAGGAGTCCTCTGGGGCCACCAGCAGTGTGGGAAGCTGGTCCTCACCCACAACCACCCCACGTCCATTACCCTGCCCTCTCTAAGTGGTTGCCGCTTGCCGTGGCACGCGGTTCCTCTCGCCGTGGGATTTGGCCACCCGTCCCTTCTTGCCCATGTCCATGCTGGCCAGGGCATGCTTGGTGTGAGCCAGCTTGCCCTTGCGGTGGTGGGGGCGGCTGGTGCCGCACCAGAGGCGGGTGCAGTCCTCCTCCCCCCGCCGCAGGTTTTGGGAGCTGATGAGGTGCATGATGTCCTTGAACCAGGTTTTTGGAGCCTGTGGCGCCAGCCGGGGCTCGGGGCAAGGTGGGCGCGGGGGCTCGTCCCCCCGCTCCCGGGGGAATGTGTGTGCCAGCTGCTCGCTGGTGATCACCTCCAAGGCCGTTTTGGCCACCGTCTGAGTGAAGCCGTGCTCCAGCGTCTTGCAGTAGTAGACACCGGCGTCATGGCGGTGCAGCTTGCGGAAGAGCAGCCCTTGCTCCGTCTGCAGGATCCGCTCATCTGTCTTCACCTGTGGGCCACCACAAGGATGGGGGGGTCCAGGTCTGGTCCCACCTCCCTCCCGTGCCCTCACAAGGGGAGAGAGGCAGGTGCGGGGGGAGCCTCACCTCATCCCGCTGCTCGTCGGGGGGTCTCTGGACGAACCACTGCACACTGGCCTGTGGGGACCGGGGTGTGCACTCCAGGAAGGTGCTGTTGTCCTCTGCCCCATAAAGCACCTTCTCCTCAACGCTCTCAAAGTCGTCCACTGGGGTAAAGACAGACACGGGCTCACAGGGAGGGCAGAGCCAGACTCCCACACACCTGGGTGTCAGCCTCCCCCGGGCCACCAAGTGGCTTCAGTCCCCTTCTCCCCCTCTCCCCAGGGACAGACCCCAGCCCCAGCAGTGCCCGCCTTCTCTTGGGGCACCCCTTGGTCTACAGGACGGGGAGACAAGATGCCCAGGTGCCCCAGCCCACCTGGGATGGCCACAAGCCCCTCTGTGTGCCAAGGGCTACGGATGCTGGAACATTTCAGAGCACCTGGACAAGCCCCCAGACCCGTAGGGTCTCCCCAAGTCCCTCACCGGTCAGGTTCTGGTCCAGGCACTGGTGCACAGGGTTGCCATGGTGGACATCCTGGCGGCGGTAGCGGCGCTTGCCAGAGGGCTGGTAGCGGGTGCAGGCGGTGCCGTCCCAGGCGCAGTAGGGATCCCTGGCCAGGCAGCACTCGGCACAAGCCGTGCCGTAGGTCTCACACCGGTGCAGCCGTACCTGGGCCACCCCCAGGCTGGAGCCCACGTAGAGCGTTTGCTGGGGGAACAGCACCGAGATGGTGATGCTGGCAGCCCCCACGGGCACAGCGCCCGGAGTGCCCAGCCGGGATCCCCAGGGCAAGCACCATGAGGGCTTTGAGAGGCTGGTGACAACACCTCAGTCCCTCCTGGCCACCTGCCCTGTCCCCAGCCCCATGGCCAAGCTGTGTCCATACTCACACGCTTGACGGAGATCTCCATGTGGATGATGGGCACAGGCGCCTGCAAGGGAGGTGAGCGAGTGTGAGGCTGGTGAAAACCTCTCCATGGAGAGTCTGGCTCACTGGGAGGTGTAAGAGACCTCCCAGTGCCCAACAGTGCAGTGACAGCCCTGGTCCTCCATCCCAACATGTGTCCCCAACCAAAGCCCACCTCACTGCCCCCCTCCCTTGCATGCAGGGCAACAAATGGCACCTTAAAAACCTGCAGCTCCTCCAGGACAACTTCCTCGGTCATGGCCAAGCTTGTCTTCTGCAGGACCACCACCTTCAGCACCGAGCCGGCGTCTGCAGGGAGGAGGAGGAGGATGGAGGTGTGGGCACCCTGCCATCACACACCCAGTGGTGTGCCCACCAGCAGCCCCAGCACCAGGTCTCCTTCCTGCACCCAACTCCTGCTGCTCACCTGTTCCGAAGAAGAGGACATCATGGTGCCCATCCTCAGCCTCCACCCGGTCCACCACGAGCTGGCGCAGGCGGTGGGGCAGGTCAGTCTTCACTAGGAGGGGCTGGCGGTGCCGGGGGTACACGGGCTTGTACATGAGGGGGTGAGCACGGGCAAAGTGCAGCACCTCATCGGGAAAGTCCTTGGTGGTGCCGTACTGCCGTCGGGGCTGGTTGGTGGTCTTGCTGGGACACTGCAGGGATGAGAGGGGACCACCTCAGTTGGCCAGCCCAGCACCCATCCCTCCTGCCCCCTCCACTGCCCTGCAGAGCCAGTTTGGGTCCCTCCCCGCATTCCAATTTGGGATCCATCTTCTCCACCCCTTTGCCAGACCTTGGTCCCCAGCCATCCCAGTGTGGATCTCACAGATGCCACTGTGATGGGATCTCACTGATCCCATCAGATGAGAAGATGGAGGATCAGCCCCATCACCCCCCTGGAAGAGCAATCAGAGGAACGAAGGGGACCCAGAGGTCCAGGGAGTCGCTCACCACGCCTGGCCGGGGGTAGGGCACCCTGCCCTCGTAGGGGCCCCACTGGTGGTGGGGGCTCTCTCGGTGGGCGAAGGGCCCGTTGAAGACCTCCCGGATGTCGGCCATGCGGTACACGCAGACAGCAGAGCCCTGGAAGACGTGGCTGAAAGGGGATGGTGAATGGGGTGAGCAGAGCCATGCTCAGCATTGGCACCATTGGTGGGGATAATGAGAGCGCCAACATCTCTGTATGGACCAGGGAAGAGCTGGCAGAGGTTGGGGAACAGTCAGCAGCCACATGGTGACAGTGACAGGGCAGGTCATGGGTGGCTGCAGCTGGATGTCCCCAAAGGCTGGGGCTGGACTACCCACCTGACGGTACTGAAGAGGGCATAGATCTCTGGGCTCTTTCCATCCTTTGTCCTCAGCAAGAAGACATCCTCTGGGGATGAGAAACCAAAGCCATAGGGTTTCTCCTGGAAGCCTGGGAGCTTCCCAAAGCCACCAACCAAAGGATCAGCCCTGGTGAGGTCCCCAGCTCGACACACCCCTTACCCAGCTCATCGAAGTGGGTGTCAATGCCACCGGGACCAGGAACAGAGCACACCAGCCGGGCTTTGTTGAAGGTACTCCACTTGTTGACCAGCACCCTCTGGCCACCAGCATCATTCTGCAGGGACAGGGACCATCAGGGCCACCATCGTGACTCGGTGCATCCCTGTCCCCTGCAGTCCCCACCAGCATCTTACCACGCAGACCCGTGCCACCCGGCTCACGATGGCGTGTTCCTTGCTGTCTGCCTCCACCACCTTCTCCGTGAAGAAGAAATAGGCTTTGTCATTGTCCTGGTCATCGTTGTCTGGGATCAAGTGGGCTGCCACGAATTTGGGGTCTACGAGTGAGAGTCGACTGTGTCAGGTGGGGTAGGAGGGCACGGCCACCACCTCCGGACCCCCACACCACACTGGGGCTGGATGCTGGCCAGGAGGAACCCCAGATCCTGCTGCCCTGGTGCCTTTCCCTGCTCATACCTGGTATGGGGGATGCCACACTGTGGCCAGCGGGTGCTCTGGCCACCACAATGCTCACAGTCCCCAGCGTTAGCCCAGCTGGGGGGCTGGAGGGGCAGAGGGGAGCAGGGGGGAGCCCTTACCGTTGAGCAGGCGCTGGTCCACCTCCGTGCGCAGGGCAGAGCGGGTCCCCGTGCTGCGGAAGATGCCGGGGTCGCGGCCCAAGAAATCTGCGGTGAGGCCGGCGTACAGCTCCCCGCCTGCCAAAAACATCCCATCGTGGGGCTAAGAGCCAGCCCCGGCTGGCACAGGGACCGTCCCTGGTCCCAGCACCCCAAAGAGTCTCAGGTCCCCGAGGAAGACGACCCACCGATGACGGTGCTGGCAAAAGCGCGGCTGGGCTCGTGCGGGCACCTGCCCCGGCCGGTCTCCACGCTGGTGGGGTCCAAGGTGAAGGTGTGCTGGGTGAGAGGGAGCAGGCAGGTGACCCCCAGCCGTGCCCTGGGCAGTGGGGCCGTGCCCGGGCAGGCAGAGGCTGGCACTGGTCCCTGCCCAGCTCACAGGCATCTTCCTGCAAGTATCCACAGCCCCAGCGCTCCCAGAGGGACCTTCTGGAGGTGGGATCCGTGCTTTTTGAGGCAAGTCTGATGCTATGAGGATGGGCAGGGGCCAGAGGGACCCACCAGCCCCACTGCTCGCCCATCAGCCTGGTCAGAGGCATCAGGGCATGGGCAGAGCTCCCACAGCCTGCACGGCGCCGGGCTGAGAGGGGGGAACGGGGCGGGGGGCTGCCTTTCCACCTCAGCCAACCTGATTTATGAGCAGTGGACAGGGAGAGGAGGGGACAACACTCAGGACAGCCCCTGGCAGGACACCAGCCTCAGGGGACACGTCTGGAAAGGTGATGTCAGGCCAGAAAGGTGGGGGAGCCAGGGAGGGGACAGCGCAAGGGCAAAGGGGCAACAAGGAGCTGGTTCCTGTCCGTTCCCCCCCACCAAGTTTTCAGCATGGGGCAAACAACCCACCCAGCATCCCCACGCCATCCTGAAGCCCCCCAGGAAGGAGGTGGAAGATGGGGATCTACCTCCCAGGGGTGTCCCACCAGTGGTGCTGCCCTACCTCGCCCCGGTGCCCCACGTAGACGAAGGCGCAGACGGGGTGGAAGGCGCCCGTCCCACAGACCAGCAAGTGTGTCCGGTTGTAGGGGTGCAGGACGCGGACGTAGTTGGCACAGTCGGTCTAGGGGGACAGCCAGGGAGAGGAATGGTCACAGGGGGCCCACCCCCAGCTCCCTGCCTCTGCCTGTAGCCCTACAACAATGGATGAGCCCCAGCCCTGGCTCCCAAGGCTGCACCCAGGCTCTCTGCCTTCACCCCAGTGCCAGGGGTGTGAGATGAAAGCTTACACCCACCCGAAGGGCTGGCATGGACTTGATCTGGGTGGACCCCAGCCCATTGCAAAAGGACAAGGCTTTTTACTGGTCCTCCTGCTGCTGAGAGCATCCCCGGGGGAAACCTGTGTGCTCACCCCATCACAGCCCACGCTGGCCAGGGGAGGAAGGTCACCCACCCACCCAGCAAGCACCCAGCAGTGTCTCCCACACCCAGCCCTAAGCCCCTGAGGACAGGGGGCTCATCTTTCTGGCACCCAGGACACAACCAGATGCAGGGACATCCTTCCCCATTGTGTTCCTGCTCGCATCGGGACTGAAACAAAGGGAGGAAACATGAGAGATGGAGACAGATACCTACAGGCATTCTCAGCTGTCTCCAGGACAGCCCCGATTGCTACTGTCTGGGATTGTCCCTTTCTATCAGAAACCAGTAGTGACGACACCCCCGGGGCTGGAGACCTGCCACCTCTGACCTTGCGTGGTCTCTCCTGGAAGTTCCCACTGGAAAAGGTCTCCCACCCTTCTCCCACTTGGGTACCACCACTCAGCAGCTCCCCCCCGTGCAGCGCCAGCCCTGCCTGCCCCCCATCATCCCCCCTCGGCGGGACGGGAGGCCCCTCGTCTGCTGGGAACACGGCCACCGAGCTGCCCCGGGGGTTCCCAGCCTCCCCGCTGTTTATTTTCCCTTTGCAAAGAGCCTCTAAAATAGCAAGTTAAAAAAAAAATAATAATATATATATGTTCAAGAAAAATAAGAAATCGAGCCTGCCCCGGCTCGGATCTGTCGGTGAGAGCTTGTAAAATAAACAGGCAGAGCGGGACGGGGACTCCCGGGAGCAATTCGTCTGGCCAGGGGAGCCTCAGGGACTTTCTCCCCGCCATGGTCCTGTTCCATGTCAGGGCTGGGGGGGATGCAAAGAGGGGTAAGGTTTGGGGAGTGAGGTCACTGAACCTGAGTCAGCTACAGATTTCCCACCGTCGGGGATGGCCAGGAGGGGCCAAGCCACATCTCTGGGGTCTGGAGCACGGCACGGGGCTCTCCGTTCCTCCCAGCTCAGGTCTCTGAGCCTGGTTACCACTGCCTGCTTGGTGCAGCCACCTTTGGGGACACACTGGCCACCACTCCGTGACCATGGGGCTGAGCAGAGCCCTGGAGATTAAGTTTACAGCACTCAGTGCAAGCATCTCACATGGCCAGGCTTGGTCACCAACTCCCTGCCTCAGTTTCCCTCATGCACTGGGATGGTCCCTTGCTCTGCCCCAGCATTAACTGTCCTCTGCGCCCCACGGAGCCACCCCCAGCAGGATGACACAGCACAGCCCTGGCACTGGAGGAGCCAGCTGGTCCCAGGGCACAAGGGGACCTCCCCCTGGCTCAGGGCAGACCATGCATGGGGAGAGACTCACCCCTGGGTCCTTCCCCTTCCGAAAACACTCCTCCGTCTGCCCCGGGAGGGGTGGCCAGTAGATCTGAAACACAAAGGACATGTTGGAGCAGGGAGGGGGGACAGCAGGGACCCAGCCTTGCAAATACACATCCCCAGGCTATGGGTGGCATGGTGATGGAGATGGGGACTGAGAGAGGGACCTCCAGCTCCCCACCCAGCCCAGGACTCCCACCCTGCCACCCAGGCTAGGACCCTTCCTCCTGGGGAGATGCACCCCAGCGGTCACAGCCCGCAGCCAGGCAGGATCTGGGGGGTCTCGCTGGGGATGGCCTGGAAGGGGGTGGACTTGTGGGTGGCCTGGGGAAAGGATACTTGGGGATGGCAGGGAGCGATAGAGCTCGAGTGCCCCACAGCCTTCAGCGGCTCTTGGACCAAGGGCAGCTTGGGTACACAAGCCCTTGACCCCATTGCAGTGACCCAACACACCAAGGGGCACTTCATTTCCTTCTCCACTTTCTTCAGCTACAAACAGCCCAGAGCCATGTTTAAAAAAAACAAGAAGTTGAAGAGGAGGGGGGTGAAGAAGGAGGGGAACCTCCATCGCCTCTCCCACCGAGGAGCCAGGAGAGGTCCGTGGGCTTTGCCAGCTGAGCCCTGGCACAGCTCATTGCAATGAGGGATGCATTTAGCTCCTTGTCTCTGCGGGCACTCAGCTGGGTATTTGGCTCGTGAAGGGGACGCCTGGGTGGGGATGGGGAGCACTTGCTCTCCTGGTGGCATCTTCTTAGGAGAGCAGGGTCTGAGATCCCACTCAGCCCCCAGGGCTCACGGGTGGGCTGTGCCACTGGCTGCCAACCACAACTACTTGCTGGCTAATTGCCCTGCTGCCACCTTGGCCAGCCCTCCCTTGCCAGGCAGCACAAGTTTTCACATGCATTTCAGGGCGTTTGGGCCAGGGACATTCCCCAGGGCAGGTCTTGCTTCAGGGTGGCTTCACCTGGCTTGGTCAGGCACCGTCTGCTCGGAGGGGCGAGGGGTGCCCAGGGATGGAGGATGGAGAATGGAGACCCTGCTCACCTCCTTGGCATCTGCACTGGGCCTGTCCAGGAGCAGGGAGTAGAGCACATCCTTCCCCCCGATGAAGAGCCGGTCACGGTACTCATCCAGGTAGAGGGAGCGGAGGCCCAGGAAGCCTCGGTGGCCGAAGAAGAGGACAGAGCGGTTGGTGCCCAGAAGCTCTGCCAGGGAGGAAGGGAAGTGTCAGGAGGAGCCATCCCAGCCTCTAAGAGGAGGGGGGTGAAGGAGGAGGGGAACCACCGCTCAGCATCATCCATCACCTCTCCCATGGCTTACTTATGATACCCTCATGGGGTGTCATAAGTACCACTCGCCCCAAATGTCCCCTCCTGGCCACGGACACAAGTGCTTGCCTTGTGCCTGGGGGATGTCCTGCTCCACAGCAGCCCCCACCACATCCTTTCACGTGCTGCTCACACTGGGGTCCCCCAGACACCAACCCACAGCCCAACCCCACTGGGACAGCACTGCCCCATGGCCCTGAGCTGTCATCCAATGCGAGGACAAGAAGGAAAAGAGATGGATTATGTCCCACAGCTGAGTGCCCTCTCACACCCCTGGGAGTCCCCCCACCCAAGGCCCAGCCATCAGAGGATGCTGCAGCAGAGGGGCAGCGGGGTCCTGAGCAAGTTTGCCCCCAGCAAGCTTTGGCTGAACAACCCTGGGCTCCTACCATGGCTGTGCCACAACGACTTGGGGTGGGCAAGAGCCTGGCAAAGCCCGTTCCTGCCACCAGCCCCAAGTCAGGTTCACACAGAGCCTGGGAGGGTGGCAAGAGAGGACATGGGGTGGGCAGAAAGCAGGTCCTGCCTGCCCCGGGTGCCAGCTGGGGACACAATAGCAGGCACCCAGCCAGTGCCATGGGGAAACCAGCACTCAAAGCCTGCCACCGCTGTCGGGAAGCGAGGTCTGGTTCCTCCCCACCATGGAACGGGACAGCGCTTGGGGAAAGGCACTGGCACGGGGACGCTGGATCCCTGGGATGGACAGCACATCCCAAAGCAACAGGCTCTAGTGGTTAAGGCTCCCAAAGCAAGTTCAAGCCCGAATCCCATGGGACACTGAGGGGACCTTCATGGTGATGCCGCCGCGGGGGCAGTGGCGTGTCTGGCTCCTGGTGGGAAATGACTGTCAGGGTCAGTGAGCCGAAAACCCCGGCACGGCGGCGCCCACCCAGCTGCTGCAGAGGGAAAGGGCAAGAGGGAGCGGCTCAGCTTCACCAGGCTCTGAAATGCTGTCCCAGCCACCACCCCGACCCGGGGACAGGCCACTGCAACCACGGGGTGGAGGAGGAGGAGGAAGACAAAGCGCCATTGATAAGCACAGTCATGTCCCCAGACACCCTCTGCCGAGGAAGGCTGCCAGCCATCACTGCTGACCCCAGGGAAACCCCCAGCCCCAGCATCCCACACACACGTCCCCATCAGAGAGGAGGTGGCGCTGGGATAAGCCCAGCTGCCAGCAGCCCAGGACACTGGGGTATCAAGCCCTGCTCTTGTTGGGGCCACATTTGTCACCTCCAGCAAGGAGGTGGCCAACTGCACAATGTCCCCATCCTGGTGGGAAATGGCTCTTCTGGGACCTGCAAGGGAGACGGGGTCCATCAACCCCATCACACACAGACCTCATCGCTGCAAAGTCACTCCAGAGCTGTCCCAGTGCCCTAACTGGTGATGCTGGTGGCATGGAGAGATACAGCCCCAGGAGCTCCATCCTCTCTGGGAAGACCACAGTGCCTGCAAGCAGAGCTGGCACCTCTAGCCCCATCTCCCTAGGGTGGTACCTCCTCCTCTTGTGTCCCCCCCCCGCCTAGAATCTCCAATCCTCCCCTATCACCAGGCCCAGCCCAGGAAAACTCTGTCGTCTCCTTCTATTCTTGCCCTGCAATAATATTTTCCCAGCTCAGAATAACATTGGCAAAGCCATCGGGCTCCTTTTATTGTTTCAGGCAAGGCTCCCCCCTCTCCCCCAGCCCCAACAAATTCCTCCTGAGCCTCGGGTTACGCTGGCTTGGGGGGGCTTCCCCTTCCCTGGCTTCCTCTCCCCAGGGAGCAGCAGCACCCTGCCTTGCTCCATCCCTCCACAGCACCCCTTTACACCCCAGGGTGGGGGGCCCGTAGAAGCCACCCACCCCAGGTGCCACTGCAGCAGGACAAGTGTCCCTTGGGGGAGCAGTGGTGGGCACCAGGTTGTGCTGAGATGCTCCTGTTCTACACAACAGCAACGTGCTCTTTCCCCTCTTGCACAAGCCACTGCTGGAAGTAAAAACTGAAGGAAAAAAGTGGCTTGAAGTGAAAGGGGGAGCTGGGGACACGGCCACCCCCGCACCCACAGCGTGACACCTTCCCCTATGCCCCCCCTCAGATGCCAACCCCGCAGCCGGAGCCACCAGCCACGCACAGCCCAAGCCGACGAGCTGAGTGCAAGCAGCTTCGTTTCACCCCAGTTTTAATTTCAGAGGCTTCTAATGGTTTTAATTGAAATTTTCATTTTCTTTTTCTTCCCCCCAGGGAGAAGGCGGTGGCAGAATTTGTTTCATGGGAAATTTCAGTTTCTGCTTCCAATTTGGAAGAGGAACAGAATAATCAGCTTAAGAAGAAAAAAAAAAAACAACAAAAAACAACACAAAACTTCAAAAGGTTGCTCGCTCCCTGCGGGAGGCCAAGGAACCCGCCCAGCCCCGGGGAGCCCCTCGCACCTGGGGAATGGCACGGATGGACCTGGGGCTGGAGAGGATCAGATGCTGAGCCAGACCTGAGCCCCATAACCGGGCTCTGACGGGACCCCAAACCTCCTGGTCCTGCTGCCAAGCTCAGCCTGAGGACACCGATCCCACCACGGGGCAGAGCCGGGAGCCATCCCGGGTGCCTGCTGCCTCCCAGGGTGAGTGGGGCCACTGCGTGCCTCAGTTTCCCCCCGTCCAACAGGGAGGGAGTCCCTGAGGCCCCCCACTCTGCCCAGGACAGAGCCAGGGGTGCAGCCACCCCATGTCCCAGCGCTGGGGGACCCCAACCCGGGCAGCACAAGGGGAGACGGCAGCTTTTCTTGGGCACAGGGAAGTGCTTTGCAGCTCCCGGGACTCTCCAAGAACTTGGCTATCCCATGCTTTTCCCCTCTTTGGGTACGGAAAAAGATATGCATTATGCAATTTATATCATTTTAATTTTTTTTTAGAGCAGGTTGACTGCTTTTAGGCAAGAAGTGGGAGATCAGGGCTCTCCAGACTCCTCCGTCAAGTTTGGCTGGAAGCAGCCCCTGGATTAAGCCGGCAGAGAGGGGGGTGCAGCAAGCCACAGCAGGATCAGAGGGAGAGTTTTAATTAAAACCAAGCACTCCCAGCACAGCAGCACCCCGAGGGCCACCCTGGCACCCCGGCACCCACCACCCCAGTGCGGTGGGGCTCGCAGGGTGCCCGGGCTGAGCAGCACCCAGGGGACCTGCTGGGCAGTTAAGGGGGGGCTGCCTGGCTCCCACCCAGCAGCGGGCGGGATGCTGAGCCCCCCCTGGGATGCTGAGACCCCCCCGGGGATGCCGAGCCCCCCCGGGGATACCCAGGGGAGCACCCACGCACCGCAGCACCCACCCGACCCACATGCGGGTGCCAGAACACGGCCGTGCCTCAGTTTCCCCCAACTCCACGTGTTGGGGAGACGATCCCGCACGGAAG